AGTCCATAGAAAGACAAAGGGTTTCTACTTGCCTCAAAGTGTTTTCAGAAAAAACATATAAGGCATTTCTCACTCATTCTGGAATAAATGCGGATACTGTCATCTTCATAAACAAAGTTTTGACATGGTGGAAATTTTTAAATTTTAAAACCCTTCAAATTGATAAACTACGCAATGACTCTCTACAAGCTGAAGTCAGGCCTCCGAATGACAGCCGACTTGATTTTATCATTGAATTTAGTCGAATGGCCTTTAATATGGCTGACAGTCAAGGTAATCATATAAAGTAATCATCCAAAAACACTGCTACGACGATACACCATACTTGCAATGGAGTTGTTAGTCTATGTTGACAACTTTTATCTACAAGCCATAAATATGTTCTATTTGGGCAATTTACAACTGATTCATTAGAAAAGAATTGATCTGGGAATTTAACTATATTGTTGCATGAAAAGAAAAAAATACTCTTAGTATAAAGGAAAATTACATTAACCAGTAAGAAGTGTCTCTCTTTTTTAAATTTGGATTTTGTAATGTAACTATAACAACAAAAACATTTCGATTTCATTTTTGCCTTGAAAAAGTTGGAAGACGTAACGTGTCGGCAAAAAACTAAGATTTTTTTCCAATTGTCATTTTATATAAAAAAGAATTTAGTAAACTTTGTCAAGGATCATGTGGCACCTATTTTATAAATGTACAACAGTGCATTGAAAAGCTGCATATTAAGCAGACATCTTTACTCTTAAATAAAAATAAAAATGATGTTAAGCCAGATAACCAATATACATCGTGTGGTTATAAACTTTGTGAGGAAAATTCAGAAATATTTGACAATCTGGAAATTTTTAGAACCATCTCTAAAAAATTTCTGAAAATCATACATTTTTCAATAGGCCTCCAGTTTCGGCTTTCAATTGCGCCATGAGCAGGCCTCTAATTGAGAAATCTATAACTTTGAAATACTTTGTCCAGATCGACTTAAACACAGACTAAACAACACAGATAGAATTAAGAAATAATCCCATAGATCAACCTCCGCCCACATTTCTCAACTATACTAGACAGTCATGCATTGCATAGGTGCTGAGGTCTCCCACTTAAACACACTCACACAAATATATACACATACACACATCACACACACACCCACCAAAAAAACAAAAAAACTAAAAGATAACATACACTTAACACACACATCTTCTTCGCAGCTACCAATAAAGCTGTCAAAATAACTAAGGAGGGAATTCTGAAACTCTTGAATCTCCCAGTCTCTATTTAAAAAACTTGGAAGAGGCAATTTAATAATACAAGGACTGACCAAAATTAACGGGATATTTTTCCCCTGATGATGACCATGCTGGCCGAAACTAGTCGAGGAACCTAATTTAAATAATAAAACAAAAAATATTAATATACAACCCAGTATGTGTGAAATTTTAATATGTTATCTAACATCGCTTAACAAGGTACAATTTTTACAGTTCCGAAACACGGAAAGTTTTTTGTAGCGATGTAAAATGTTATAATAAATATATTATAGTATTTCGCTCTATGTTGTGTTGAGCACTTTTTTTGCCAAGAACAGTGGATTCTTTCTTCATGTGCCTGTTCTTTCTCTTTATTTGTATATATATATATACATATATATATATATAGAGAGAGAGAGAGAGAGAGAAAGAGAGAGAGAGAGTGCGATGGATAAATTGTCGTCGAAATTACGTAAAAATGAAAATAACATTGATATTAATAGATTTATTTACCAAAATTACAATAAAATATCTTGGAATATTAGTAAGTAAATTTATTCAATAAAATCGCCATTGGCTTTAACCACAGTCTCTAGACGACTTCGGAATCTCCTGCAACTCTTCTGGACGGTGAATGCTGCCATGATCCTTGCCTTCAGTTCATCATTGATGTTACAAGTCTTCCAGTGGCTACCTTCTTAATCCAGGGCAGTACTACCTTCACAAGTCACTTGATGTGGGCATCCGTGTTGAGTCTGAGGCCCTCACCAAAACATTCAGGAGTTTTTTTTTTCTTATCAGAACGATCAGAGTGAGTTTTCCGAGATGCCTTACTTTCGTAATCCCCATTAGACTCATCAATAGATTGAATTTTCCTTAACCTCGAAACTTCATAATATTAATATTGTCTGCGCTTATAAATTAAGTAAATTTTTTAGAAAGTTATTCCTAACATCGCTTGACAATGGAACGAGACTATGGATTTTAAGTTTAATTTTTATAATTAAATTTATAAGTTTACTTTCAGTTTTGAAACATAGAAATGTCTGTGTCGCAATGGAATCATATTTTTTAAAAAGAAAATAATTATAATGCCTTATATATTAGGGAATGGATTAAATCCGACCGATTTTTAATTTATTTGTTCGAACGTTATTTTTTAAATGGACCCTCATACTTGAGTAGATGTTCTGTATTTGTTTATTTATTAAATATAACTATATAAAATAGTATATTTACATCTACCGATCTGAATATTCGAGAAATCTTGTCAGTAAAATATGCACTATCCAGCAGGATTCGAACCTGCGTCCTCCAGGAGAAACCGTCCTTAAATCTGACGGGCCTTAAACCACGCGGCCATGTAGGACCTTCTGATTAAACAAAGCCCGAATAGTGCATTAGAACACATAATTTCCCGATTCTCAAAATATACATATCTACTCTGTTTCGTATCCTAACTCAAACAAAGACATTTTTTAAGAAATTGATTAAATGTGACAGATATTTATTTAATGTATTTGTTTGAACGTTATTTTTTAAATGGACACGCATATTTGAGTAGATGCACCGTTTTTATTATTTATTAAAAAGTATATTTATATATTTACATTTTGTTAGAAAAATATACGCCTTCCGTTAAACAAATTTATATTTACCGTAAGCAAAGTGCATTTGGTGGAATGGTTAAAAACCTAGCCATGCCAATCAGTTACCATTAACAAGTTCTTGCTTGATATTCTGTTTAAATTTGTCAATCGAAACGTCTCTTGTTGACACGTTGTCAATTGTGATTATGAGAATAAAACAAAATATTTAAAAGTCTCCCGAAGAACCTCGCTCATCACGTGTTCACCTGTCTAGCCGAAGCGCGGCGGGGAGGATTCCGGAATGAGGCATTATGATATTTCCGCATTGTTTTTCGTCAGAATTTCAAGCTAAACGTGTTTCTGTGAAAGATGCCTTACTTGCTAAGCTAAGTGTAGACTGTTGAATCTATTTTCGTCGTTGTTTTCTTTCATTTAATCAATCTTTTTTCTTTATCTCTCTTGTTCTTAAAATCAGCTTAGAAACTAAGAAAAATATCCTGATGCTTATATCTTCCTTTGATAAGTATTCAATAATATTTGTCTTCTTGAATGCTAATCATTTCTAAAATGGTGTTTATTTCAAAAAATGGCAAAATGTTTACCTAAATCTATTAGTACATTTATTCCGAAAATAATTAAAAAAGAATACTGTAGAAGAGAGATAAACTTTGCTGTCAGTAATATTTAAATCCAAAATTGTCTCACCGTATATGTCTTTCATATATCATCTCTTCAGAACCATATACAGGCTCTCCACATTTAGCACTTTATTATCTCTTCCTGTACCTGTTCTGCCATCCATTTGACACATACACATAGGTAAGTTACTAGCTGTCGAATCTGTCCCTGTTGACTTTAATATGTCCAATATAAGTACTTTTCCTTCGTATGGCGAGTGAAAATACTTTCTCCTGTTCTCTACTAGAATCGGTTGTCTATCTTTGTTTAAAATCGGAATGAATTAATTTTTTTAAAGCATTTGTTTAATTAACGTTGCTCTTTTGGTACCAAATAGAGATGTCACCTGAAATAGTCATGTCGATAGGAATTGTTTTATAAGTTTCATTAGCTGAAAAATAAAGCAAACGTGTCGGAAAAAATTACTTGAAAAATAAGCACTTTGCTTGAGGGAGAATAAATAGTAGGAAGTAATCATGCTTTGTGTTTCATACACAAGGGTACCCATGATACGAGAAGCTATATAAACATCAACTTTAGGCGGTAGGGGAGTTGGGGGTAATGCAAATTAGATATTTTTCTCTAATGTCAAAAATGTTTCATTGGTGTGACGTTCCAGTCGAGCAGCTTCTTCCCGCAAACCACTGCTCTGTAGAACCGACACCCAAAATGATGTTTCTCCGATCATGAAACCTGTTCCAATTTAGGGTTAACCGTTTTCTTCCCCTCCTATCCATATAAACTGCCTCTTAACGTAACCCTCTACCTCGAGTGGCTTCTGGACCTTGTACAAGTTAAAACAAACTTTTTTTAAAAAATTGCTTTAGAAAAATGACTTAACAGAAAAAAACCTTGAGACTGAAACTCTGTTAGTATTGATAGCCTAGTTTAGTACGAAACAAAGGAAATTGAGCAAAGGAAGTTATCCTTTTTCTTTTTCGTCTCACTTTGCCTTTTGACCCTGAAATCGAGGTGACCTTGCCCAAGAATCCCTATTCACATATTTTTCTGGTATTATTTTACTCTTAAACCCGCGTCATAACTAACTATTGTTTTATTCCATTTAAATAGTCAACTGGCCAATTGACCGTGAAGTAAGAGCGGAATTTATCATGCACATGAAGTCAGTAAGACGGATATAATAATAAAAGTTTAACCCTTTTCCCCTGCATAGAATTCTCTTTCTTTCATTTGTCATGGCCCTTCAATTTTGTGCATGTTCAAGGCTCTTCACAATTTCCTATCCTTCATTGCTTTAAGTAATGTTTGGCTCCTTACTATCCGTCCTACTCCTTGTTTTGCCATCCATTTACGCAGAGTAGGTAGATTACTCGATGTTTCACTCTTGCCTTAGGTACCGTCTTGTGACTATCAAATCCTCCAAGCCCTCTTTCCTTATTAAGGGTCCCAGAAATTTAAATTGTTACTTTCTAATTCTAAGTGTCTTTTTTGTATCCATTTTCCTTAAAACATCCTCATTACTCACTGGTACACGTACGATCACCGAAGTTAAGCAACGTCGAGTTTGGTCAGTACCTAGATGGGTGACCGTTTGGGAATACCAGGTACTGTAAGTTTGGATGAGCGGGTGGTGTAATGGATAATGTCTCGGAATTGTTAATCGGAGAGCTGAGTTCCAATTCCCATTGAGTTCGTTATATTCACTTACGTGCAAATACCCTTGAAAAAGGTACGAATCCACCTATCCCCCCCCACAACACACACACCGCTGTGGGTTATTTTGTAAAACTGGCATCACTAGACCACTATTATCAAAAACAAAGTATTTTCTGGCTTTAAATAACCTGCAAAGATTGATAAGCCGCAGTAAGTCAATCAACCGTCAAACCGTAATTATCACCATCCTTCTGTAGAACCTCATCTCTGATACCTCAAGTGTCCGGTGAGGAAATTGTTCAGTAATCATTGCAATATGGGAGGAGTTGTATAAACAAAGAAGAGTGTTTAACTGCTATGTAGCAGTTAAACACTCTTCTTTGTTTCTAATGAAATTTTCTGTTTCTTCAGACTTCGTCGGGTTTTTGTAATGCTTTTTTCGTTATTTCCTATTCCTGTGTCACAGTTTCTATCGTTTTCTATAATACTTCTATATATTCAAATTTCTGCACTTTCTTGATTCTGGCATCTCCAATTTGTAGTCCGCATCTTGATCTGTTCACTTTTTGCTAACAACCATAAATTCTTCTTACAATTGATGATTTGTCCTTTTTTTCGCGCTTACCTTTACGATATTCCTTTAGTTTTTTTTTTCCGTCTTTGCTATCAACACTATGTCATCTGCGTATCATATGTTGTTGAGGTTGTGTACACCAATAATAAATCCTGGTAGAATTTCTAGTTAGAATTGTCTAGTAAGGGTTAAATAAATCCTGTGATACGATGCGTCCTTGTCTTACACCTATCTCTATTCTTGTATACTTGCTCAATTCGTTTTCTATCAGCATGTAAATGGCTTGCTCCCAATAAATATTCTGGATGATTCTAATATCTTTTCAAGTAAATAATGTTTTCTTTACAGTTCAATATAGAGTGGAATTGCCTGTCTTGAGAAATACTTAGGCCCGAACACCAACTACAAAAACCATTGTTATAGCTTGTATTTATTTATATTAGTTATTTATTATTATTATTATTATTATTATTATTATTTGAAGAAATAGTAGTAGCAGTAGTAGTATGTTGATCGTGGTTGTTATACTCTGACGGTCTTCGTCGTACCTTCACAACATCCTTTCGTACCGAACTCTTCATTTAATCTATGCCGATAGATTTTTCTCTTTCTGCTTTCGATGCTGAGGGTAGAAAACTGTTATCAGTTAATACTCACCAGTTTTATTCGATTTTGTGTCTCTTGCCTGTTTCTTTGACTGGGCCACATACAAGGATTGGACTCATATCCACCAGGAAACAAGACGTGTTTTAAACAACACGAAGACACCTGTCTCTTCCTAATAATAATAATAATAATAATAATCTTCTATATGGTGTCTCCTATCAGGACGTGGGTGATCTCCACAACTTGCTATCCCTTGTAGCTCATAACAACGTATGTCTCTTTGCCAAGCCTACCAATTACCGTTTTGCTATCCATTAACACAAACTCGCCAGTTATGTGGCCTGCTGTCTCCCCCCCTCTCCCTTTTTGCCTTTGGTATACCCTGTGAGTGTCAAATTCTCGAAGCCCTCTTTCCTCGTTATATGCCCGAGAAATTTCAGCTGTCTCTTTCTGATTCTAATTAACCTTTTCGTTTCCATTTTTCTTAAGACTTCCTTACTACTTACAATCACAGACATGCATACTGTCTGTGGTATTCTCAACATCCTTCTGTAGAACTATATTTCAGTTGACTTCAGTTTTCACTTCGTCTGTGAGGAGATCATCCCAGCAATCAGTGCTATATGAGAGGAAATATAATAATTTGCGAATTGCAAGCTTAGCTTCGTAGACCACAAGTGCGAGAGTTAAGAGAAATAGGATATAAAGATGGGATTATGAGAATTTTTCAACTGAGAAAATTCATCCTATCTGGAAAATCAGCATTCGAAATATTTTTTATAGGGAACCAAACACTGACCCCTATGTTATTATTTTGTCTTGAGTCTCTTCAGAGTGTAGACAATCATGGCTCTCCACAACTTCCTATCTTTTGTTGATTTAAATAACTTTGGACTGTTTACCAGCCTTCTTTTTTCATATTCTGTTATCCATTTACTTGAATTCATTAAGGTTACTTATTATTACCCGCTTCTCTTGTGCCCTGCATCTCTTTGAATGTTTTCCCTGTAGGCCCTGTTTTTTCACTATGCTTCCCCCAAAATTTAATTGTTTTTCTAACTGTAAGCACGAGTGTCCTTAAAATTACTATTTTCTTTAAAACTTCCTCGTTCTTCACATGTTCAATTCATGGCATCCTCATCATCCATTGGTAGAACCACATCTTTTGCTTCAAGTCTTTCCTTCATCTGTAAAGAGATTGTCTATTATTCACTGACATAAATTATTAGATACGCTAATCTGTTAGTACACTATCCATTAAGGCAGGTTGATTGTTCACATTTTTAGAAAATCAACATTGCACTTGGTTTAATAGCTGAAGTATAATGTGATAAGTACTGACACCAAAATTAGATTTATATTCTTTACCAATTTTTGAGAATTTAGTGTTTCAAGATCGCCTGAAAATAAATGTACAAAAATATCTAATTTCCGCAGTTTTTTGCTTACAAATTGATTTCAAAATTTTACTGTTTCAAGAAAAAATCCGAATAAAGTTGATATCGTTTGTATTTGATACATTGAATGGAAAATAAATTCAAATCAGAATTCTAACCACAAACAAAATAGGCAACATTTTTACTCTATTCGATAAGTAAAAACTGTAAAAGATTACAAAAAAGGCTAGTCAATGAATAATAATTTTCAGATCATAATTAATAAAAATAAAAAAAATAGATAAAAGTGTATATAATATCATAATACTGCTGGGCACAAATTATAAGACAATTTGTTTTAAATTTGCATTTTTATAGAAAATTACATTAAAACTATTGCGCTGTACAACATATTACATTATAATATGGCTAAATTGTTCAGTATAATTTCCCTTTTAAAGTAAATGAAGGTCATATTTTATGGCACAATGATTTAGTAATACTGGGTTTGTGGCTTGCATCTTGCTCATATAAAATTTGTAAAGCTTCAGTAAATTAAAAAAAAATTATAAAGCTTTCACTGATCACCGGAATGAAATTCCAACGCTACGATTTTGTACCTAAACTTAAACTTTAAACTCGTTTCTGAAACAAACTGTAAAGATTTTGCAAAAATATTTTGTCATTATTTACCATGTTAAACCCCAACTTTCAAATTGAACTACGGTTCCAAAATCGATATCGCTAAATTTCCATTCCTGATTGATTTTGACGTAATACTGTCGACTGTTAACAGTGTGAAAACCCAGAAGTGTTTCAGTCTCAAGCTAGACAACTTGATCTACTCTTCGATGTTTTCATTAACATAGACACCCTTTAATGCCAGGCAACTCGTTTAAATGATCAGTGGTTGACAAATCTGATTTCAAAAGCTTCTTGATTCTAAACGGAAGTTTTGTAAATGATGTTCCTGACCGCAAGTCAGCTAACATTCAGACATCTCTTCAATTGTAGATTGTAACTGCGAACATACAGGCATATCACGTTAAAACACCGGTTTTCGTTCGATCATTGAAGTTAGGCAACATCGAACCTGGTCAGTGCCTAGACAGGCGACCACTTGCCTGGTGCTTCAAGATTGGGTGAGCGGAATTGTTAATCAGAGAGCCGAATCCATTTACGCACAAATACCTATGCGAAAAGTATGAATCCACCTCTTCTCCCCCCAGCTATGAGTTAATTTGTATCACTAAATCATTCATTTATTTATTATTAGCGCATGTTGCGCCGCTGTTGTCACACCCCCCTCCCATCTCACAATTGTGGTTCACGATAGAATAGTTGCAATGACTTGCTGATTCCTTTTGCTGATGTTATTCCGTCTCCTCTCAGAGGTAGATTTGTTTTAAATTTACCCCCTTCTAGTCTTTGCCTAAAGAGGACCTACAAGACAGCAAGTGGTTGGAATTCCGGTTTCCTTCTCCTAGACTGGTTGCCATCCTAGGCTATAGGACCCAGTCTTGTCTTGCTATTTTAACCATAAAATAAATTATTATTATCTCAACAAAAGAGAGAGAGAGAGAGAAAAAATCTAACAACCTACAAATATTTTCTGGCTTTAAATAACCTGCAAGAGTATAGACCGTAGAAAATGAATCAAACCATTACGAGTCCAGAGAACCAGTGTTCTGTAATGTCCGTGCAAAACATGATTTATGAACAGGAACACATCACGTAAAGATTAGTGAAACTTCCAGGAAAATTCATTTATGGGAAGAAGAAAGTAAAGCTTAATACAACAGACCATCTCAATGTCGGATAAATGAACTAAATTTAAGCCTTTAACTGGACCTCACTTGATGTTTTCAAATTTTAGTGAAAGGTTTTTAATTCTTTTTGCTCTTTTATATATAATATGATTCTAATCACCGTGAACCTAGCTAAAGAAAATGGCGTAGAGAAAAATTAAAGAAATGAAAAAACTATTTATTTAGGAATACCCACTTTTGTATAATCACCGATTTTCGAAGTTATTTCTTCACTTTGGATGAAATAGGAAAAAAACTCTCTAGAATATTATTGGCAGCTGATCTCTTCTCTGACCGAACTCGGTTGGGAGTAAAACTGGCTGGTTACATTCAATATCTCAAAAAGCAAACTAGTTACACTCCATTATCACTGATCGTACCCTGAACTACCAGCAGTCACGATGAATGGATGTTCCCTCAGGGAGGCCCCATGCTTCGAGCATCTATTGGGCCTTAAATTCAACTTAGACCTCAGGTAGGACTCGTACATAAGATATAAACTAAAGATGCCTGGAAAACCGTTAGTTTCCAGTACCGGTTCAATAAGGACCTGACTCCTCTCGCTATCCTCTACCTTTACACGAGCCAGATCA